ACATTTGAATTTCGCGCCAATTTTATTGGCGCTGTAAAATGTTAACAAGTTGCATAAAAACGTTGTTTTTCAAATAAAAATAGTACTAGTTAAATTAACATTAAATAGAATAGAAGTTTTGATGTTAGACAATGTTATAAATAATTAAACAATTTTGTCTTTTACATCATTCATATTAATCGAATGGTTTACGAGTGAGCAACAATATGAAGATTTTTTTTTAATGAAGTGTTAGTGTACTTTCCCTATGGCTGGAACAATATTGACAATTTATTTTCAATTTTAAAGTATACCGACTTGTTGTGGAGCATTATAATATTAGACAATGTTGTAGATTATTTAAATTTCAACAAATTTGTCTTATACATCATTCATATTAATCGATTGCTTTTACGAGTTATAAATGATGTGAAGAGTGAATATACTTTGGGTATGTTTAAAACAATATTCTAAATTCAATTGCGATTTTAAAGTATACCGAGTTGTTGTACAACTTTATAATATTAGACAATGTTATAGATAATTTAATTTACAACAAATTTGTCTCTTGCATCATTCATATTAATCGAATGGTTCAAAAGTTATAATAAATATAATAAATACACCAACTCAGTACATATAAATATAATGTAATTCTGTGTTCGAAGTTCATTTTGAAGTATACCGAATTGCTGTAGGGCACTATAATATTAGACAAAAATGTAGATTATTGAATTTGGAACAAATTTCTCTAATATTTCATTTAAATCGGATGAAAGATACAAAAGTTATAAAAAATCAACATACAAGTGGTTTCTATATCAGTACAGTTGTTGCACTTTCTTTGACTATACTCATTCATGTTTAGGGACGATTTTAAAGTATACCAAGTTGTTGTAGGGCATTATAATATTAGACAGTATTAAAGATCATTTAATTATTTCTAATCTCATCTAATTTTTTCTAATACATCATTCATACTAATCGAATGGTTTAAAAGTTACAAGAGATATAATAAACAAATGCACGAAATTGTTCTATTCAAATCTCTGCACTATAAATCGTACAGTGGGCTGAATATGGTTATGAAATTTCGGTGGGATTTTTTCCCAGACATATATATATATAAATTTGTATTTATAATTATATAAATCATAAGCATTTGTACGACCGATGACACTAATGGCATAATACCATATTAATATTTCAAAAAATATGTAAACACAAATTATATATATATATATATATATATATATATATATATATATGTATGAATATATATAAATTAATAAATTGTTTTTCTAGATTTAAAAAGAGCCTCCCGTTGTGAAAGATTACTGTAAAAGATTTCTCTAGGAAAGATTTATGGCCAAAAACTCTATTTTAAATACTTTATATATATATATATATATATATATATATATCATTATTAAATTTGCCTACACAATTTATTTTCAAAGTAAATTTTGTTAACATAAAATTATAAATAAAAACTAAGAAACTATAAATATTAATAATATTTCTATACAAAAGCCTTATTTTTGCGTCTTGTTTTTTCCAGATTTTTTGAAATTTTGTTTCATCTTTAAGAGATAGATACTTTTTGTGTTGGCAAAGATTTAAATAGATAAAATTATCTTTAAAATAAGCTTATACAGAATCTCATATAATAATAAATACGGATGTTATGAAGTTAGCAATCCATCAAAAGTTTTTTGAGGACATGATGGTACTATGGTTTTGCTTTGTTTTTCAAAAATTCTGCTTTATCTTTAACAGATAGATACTTTTGTATTAGAAAAGATTTAAGTAGATACAATCATCTTTACAATAAGCTAATACAGAATTTTATGTAATAATAAATACGTATGCTATGAAGATAGCAATCCATCAAATGTTTTTTGAGATCATAGTGGCATGAAGGTTTTGCTTAGGATTTTTCAAAATTCTGTTTTATCTTGAAGAGATAGATACTTTTTGTGTTAACAAAGATTTAAGTAGATACAATTATCTTTACAATTATTTATATAATAATTAATATGGAAGTTATGAAGTCATCATTTCATCAATTGTTTTTTAAGGTCATGATGG